AAAGAAAGAAAGAAAGAAAGAAAGAAAGAAAGAAAGAAAGAAAGAAAAGAAAGAGAGAGAGGCATGGAATTGGATTAGTGGATTAGTGAGGAGATGAGGGAGGGGAAACCATGATCAGAATATACTATATGAAAAATAAATTATTTTCAATTAAAAACAAAAGCACAGGATGAGCCACAACAATAATTGTGGGTCCTTTCAATCTTGGCCCTCTGCTCCTGGGTATAAAAAATACAATTACAAACTACAAAGTGACCTCGTGGTCCTTTGAAATAAACCCAGGACTGTGGAGTGGGAGAAAGACAGCCCTATAGCAACCTGGTTAGTCAGACTGGCTGAGTCCAGGAGCTCTGGGTTCAACTGCGGGGCTGTTTCAGTGAGAAAGGTAAAGAACAATCAGGGAAGATTCCTAATGGCCAGTGTCAACATCAAGCCTACACACACACGCACACACGTATACAAACACACACACACACAGAGTCAAATGCACACCACATAGCTATTTTTTTCAATTATTTATTAGGCTGCGTGTGTCAATCACACACGGGGAACAAGATCACAGACTAATGGGAAATCAAAGGCAAGGTAATTTCAGAGGGTAGCAAACCTGAAAACTATGGAGCAAGCAGCTGCAGTTTCCAGGGAAGAACTGAGCGGACGCTGCACCATGGGCACTGACCCAGCGGCACGTGCGTGAGAACAGCAGCAGGAGGCCCTAAGGAGCAGACTGGAGATGGGTGCAGGGAGCTGCTCCCCAGGCCTCGGGACTCGCTTTCTTCTGCTCATAAGCTGAGCCGTGGCTTGAGTTCCTGACCTCCAAGCACAGTGGAGCAGTGGAAGAAACGTGCTTGATCTTGTTGGGTTGAAGCGGTCAGTGGGGGAAATGTCAAGACTCCCCAATTATCTACATCTCTTTGTTGCAGGAATCTGGAACATGAGGTCAACATCGCATATAAGTAAAGCCTTTTAATTAGCTTCAGTTGACGGAGTCTCTCCTCTCTTTACTTAAAGAAACTTTAGGCAACCCGCTATGTTGTCCGTCTGGCTCTCCAGAGAGGTAGCCTGGAGTTTTCTTGCTTGGGATGGGCTACTCTTTTTTTTTTTTTCAATTCCTTTGACTTCCATGGTGAAGAAAACTGCAATCCCTTAGGTAGTTTATTCTTTAGGAATCGGAGTCTGGGGCTGAAGAGATGGCTTGGTTGTGACAAACGTTTGCTGTCTTGCAGAACAGCCCTCAGCACCACACCTGCTCACAAACACATGTGATTCCAGTTCCAAGGGCTCCGATGCCCTCTTCTGGCCTCCGTGGACACCTGCATATGCATGGTGTGCCTACTCATTTATAGACCTGAATAAATCTTTAGAAGAA